ACATTATTGTGTTAAATGATAAAAGCATTGAATAGACACTACAAAAAGTACCTTTAGAAATTAATATTTTGATTCAACACTATAAATAATCATTATAAATGGGTATTAATGTTACTGTAAATATGAAACTAAATACCCCAGTAGATGGCAGGAAGTCACAGCCTTAATGAGTGAATAATTCAGTCATTCATTCAACCGATTTGTTCAACTGCTGTGTTGCCACATGGTTTTACATGCATAGGTGTACCTCATTAACTCATAATTAGTACCTAAGAATACATAAAAAAAAAATTAAAAAAAAACACTAAAGCACTTGACAGATTTCCATGGTCCCCATTTACCCTTTCTCTTAAAATGCATAAAATACAATTATGATACATATTTTTATGTATAAAACCATTAATGTGTCTCAAACTCCACTCCACCCTGTTGCAGTGGTGCTACTTGTCCTTTAAAATCTTAAGTGTAATGCCCTAATTCACATGACTTGCTAGAAGTGACACTTTCAAGAAAGCAACTTCGAGAACAAAGTATGTATTAGTAATTGAAACATTCTAAAGAAAATGTATTGAAATAAATTGTATATATCTATTGTTATATATTTTATATATATTTATATTGACATTTTCCAAAATGTCATTTTAGAGCTAGTAATGGAGATTGAGCCATTGATATGCAGAGATTGAAGTGTATGTAAATTACCTAAGTCTCAAAAGCATTTAGTAGCAGCATCTAAACTAATAGCAAAAAAACCTGTAATATTGGAACGGTCTGTCAGTGTTATTGCATTTATGGCATTTTACAGTAAGAAGGCATAAAACGCTACATGTGCATTTTTTTCCCAAGGTGCCATATGTTGCGCAAGTTCTACCTCCACTGCCCTGTGGTTTTAGGCCCTGTCATTTCCATGATCTTAAGAACCCAGAGGTAAGAGAAGCTTGAAACACCAGTTTAATTGGACTTTGAGTAAAATGATACACAACAAATATGAAAAAATGAAAAACACATAACATTATTTGGATTTAGTGTTGAGTGTCCTTGTACTAGAAATGTCTAAAGCACTGAGTAATTGGTGCAATAATTGTTTATTAAGCAATAAATTAGCAATCAATATGTAAGGAAGCTGATCATATAGATTTTTTTTCCTTGCAGATATCTGTGATCAGCAACCCTTCCATGAATCACCAACCTGCAGAAATTCCTCCACAATACAGTGAAATATAAATAAATATGAATAGTAAAAAGGGGTCAGTGATGTGTGCTGTTAATGTCCCTTACTACTAATGTACTATCATTAGAATAGAAAACATAAAAGCAAAGAAGAAATCACTTGATCAGATTACAGATTTTACAGATTTTTTAAAAAGTCACATATGTGTAAATGATAACTATTCAAGACACTAATAGATACTATTTCCTGATTTTCTTTCTTTAGTTAAGTCAAAGTTGTCTAATCATCAGTGAAACTGGATAGATTGATTTTAACAAGTAATAGACAATACTGTAATACTGTAAGAATAAAATATACTGAATAAAAATGGCTTATTCTTGTCTTTAACCTTTATTTAACCATGCAAGTCACTTGAATTAATGAATTCTTATTTACAACAATGGCCTGGAAGTAGAATATCAATCTCCTGGAGGACATACAAATTAAAACGTCATTAAAACAGGAAAATGTGTTTCTTAAACATGGGTGATGGAACCCATTAAAAATAGCCTTATTTTTTGCTTTAAACATAGTAAACATATACAACTATAGATATGAAAGAGTTTAAACAGGGATTATGTTAGAGCTAAGTTAGTATAATTTTATTGTTTCAGCCATGTCTTTAACCTAAAGTTAAATTCTGAGAACTGTACTTACACCATGAGGTGCCAAAATGTGACTGAAATTCTCTGCTGAGAACTCAAGAAACATGAGCTACAGTATTTGCACATTGGCAGATAGACCAGGCTACCCAAAAATGTTAAGCTGATTTCTTGAGTAAGAGAATTGCAACATTTACTATATTTATAAATAATTGCCACCTTGTTTAAAAATATATTTTGACACAAAAATTCAAATATTTTTCTATTACTCTAATAGTCTGCATTTACATACATTTTGGCAAATTATATTTTTCTCCAATTAGAAAATGAATGAGAGCTTTATATGTCACTCCCGAAACTTTGCTGCATTAGCAGCAAAAAACAAACAAAATGTTTATTCAAATACTAAACAGATTATATTTAGCCTAGAAAGTATGCAAATAGTCCTTCCTTTATTTAGTCACTTCAGCTCATCGTGATCTCACAAAGTTTTTATTTAGTTTTTATAATCAATGAACTTCTTATTCACATATTGTTACGGTGAGAGGATTCGTGAGCGTGCAGAACAAAATCCGGCGTTTAGCCACGAGTGAAATGACTCATTTGAAGGAATGGCCAATCCAAGGTGTTCAAGAATCACATATGCCTGTGCTCTTTGAAGTCGGCTTGGTGTGTCCCGGCCTTAAAGGTCCCCTGAAATGCTTAGAAACACGCAGCGGTACTCTATGTGTTGACGTAATTTTAACTGAAACAGGAAGACAGGGCGGGACATATCAAGCAGCCCTGCCCCTTTTTAAAATAGCCAATAGCCTTCGTTTATATCACAGCTTGGGCTAGAGCCGTTCAGAGCCGTTGAGCTCCGTAAAGCTGCATTTGACAGGGTATGCCAGCCACAATCTCATCCATATTGCTATAAAATATAGCATTCTGTGTAGAATTCATATACATTGTGTGGTCTGCGTCGACTCGTGCATGTGATCCGCTCCGTGCTATCGTATCTCTGGACCGGAGCAGAGTGTGTGTGCGGTGCGGTGGTTAGCGCGACACAGCGTGAAACCAGACTTCTTATTTTCCTAAATGGAAAGCATATTAAACTTTCATTTTGATTTCATGGGGACTTTAAGGTAGTAATATATCCCATTATGCCTGTACTTTAGTTAAATGGTAATTTGAGCCCTGTACCACAAAGCTAATGCAAATTTGATGGAAGGTCTTGAAAAAGGCAGAGTGTAGTGATAACGTGTTCACCACTCAATCACCACTGAGTGGGAAATCAAAGGTTTTGTGCTTCAGACTCATCCAGATTTTGATTCACACACTATAACATAGTCAAAAATTGTTAAATACTAGAGTGGGAGCTTGAAACGACTCATCATTGCCTTGCTGTTGCTACCGACAATGTATGCAATGTTCACAGTGCTTTGTTTTGAGATTAAGTGTATATCCTTGAACTTTTTTTAAATACGTTCAATGACATTAAGTCTAGAGAATTTTTTGGGGGGGAGTCAACTATTCTTTTAACACATTAACACAAAGTACTGCAATATAAAATGTGAATATTTTTTAGAAATGTACAGACTATTACTGAGATTAAGTTGAGACAATAGAGAAAGAATATAACAATATTAAAAAAGAAAAACTCTATCTTACAAGAGTAGAAATTAACCATTAACTGTACTATGAGCTACATTTCTATTAATTATCAGGTTTATGAGGCCATTGAATATTCTTGCAAAAGACATGTATCACTAATGTTACCTCTGAAAAAGTAAGTGCATTTATTTCTTGTCTCATTCATTTTTAGCGCAGTTGTTAGGAAACGATTGTTTTTTGTTTACTGTGTTGAGACGTGCTGAAGTCGCGTTTAGTCTTGTGCTGTACCGCGATCAGGCGCTTGGCCCCAGTGGTGTAATGTAAAGAAGTAATAATACTTTGTTACAGTACTTAAGTATTTTTTGGGAGTATCTGTACTTTACTTGAGTTTTTATATTTCAGCCAACTTTTACTTTTACTCCACTACATTTCCTAATTAAAATGTATACTTTTACTCCGATACATTTCCCCGAAGCATATTCGTTACTTACTACAAAATAGTCAGAAGTCAGAAAAACACGGACTGCAGGAAAGCAGGTTTATGAATCAGTGGTCTGGTGTCTGCAAGTTAGACTCCTAAAAACAGCTTTGCTCATAACCACAGATGATTTCATTTTCTACTCAAGTCAAGTCTGGGGTGTGCGATATAGCATCGTCTGCGATAATATGGTAAGTGTTGTTGTAATGATTTGCGATCTGACATCATCTAGTAGGCTATATCACCAAATCACACACAAGAGTGCACGCACGTTGATTTATTAGTCTATTAAAATTCAAAATTCAAGGCATTCTAAATTGTAGACGGCAAAAATGCTTCTGTATGCTTTTTATATTTATATAATTTAATATAGTTAACGTAATCTATATCACACAAAGAGTACCGTTTTTCTGCACACATTTAATATTCACTTTATACAAGTTCAGTAAAGCAATGTGACTTACATTTTAGACATAATATGGCTTGTTTTTGCTCAATTTTGCCTACGAAAATAGTTCCAAACAAAGATCACAGCACTGTTTTGCGTCTCTGAGCAATGGACAGTGTTTACTTATTGAATGAATCAGCTTTTTGAA